GTACAAGCAGTGGAGAGGAGGGGTGGGGGATGTTCGTACAAGCAGCGGGGAGGAGGAGGTGGTAGGTGTGTACGAACGGCAGGAAGGAGGTGGCAGAAGGTGTAGGTTTGTACGAGTGACAGCAGATCATGTGGCAAGTGGTGGGGCATGGAGCAGAGAGGTTTCTACGCGCGGAGGTAAAGTCGGCATGTGCTGTCGTTGCAGCATTTTTCCGCGCACCACGGTCGCTCGTGTCACGAATCGCGTGCGTGCACTCAGCGCCTCAAAGGCCGATTAATTGGATCGCCCGTTCGGAAATCGGACGCGTGCACGTCACGCCGGGGTTCACTTGCCTCGACCTGTCCTCCAGGTGGTGCACGACTCCGTCTATGTAGGATTTTCTCGAGCGGTTGACCAGCTGAGCGAGTCTCCTCACGAACCGAGGCGTCGCTTCGTCGCGACCCTGAGAACGTCACAAAAGCACGTCGTGACGCGGCGTGCATCACCGTCGCGGTGGCAATCATCGGAGGCCGTCGTGCGGCGGATATTGCCATGGGCACGAGACTGGGGGCGACGACTGGGGTCATGTTCGACCGTACCGATGTACGTGTAACACGTTGCACGTACAGACAGACAATGTGAAGCGAGTCTAGTCAAGCAGAACGTGCAGCAGCCGTTTACGAGAGCAAGCGGCCGGTAACGCCATTACCCAAAAGACAAATGAACCCAGAGTGAAGCACGCACAGTACAATTCTCGGCGAAGCCGATTACTTTTTTTGACAATAAATAGCGTACGTGGAATCAACGAAATTTTGCCCCACGATAAAAAGCATCAGTACATTTTCGGTGCGTCGAATTCGTGTCTACGCTCGTTGGAAAGATACATCGGGTTTGTGATCAACGTACCCGTTCAAACAGCTTCAGGTACGCGTAGGCTCCGTCGCTGCACACACCCTTCTCGCTGTCAGCCACCCGCAGCAAGTCCGCCACGTCTGCTGCCGTGCCGAGGCTGAAGTACGTCGCGAGGATGTTTTCGAAGACGCTCGCCTCGATCGTTTCCTAGAAAGATTTTCGAATTCGATTCATTGCTTCAAATTTAACGTATGAAGAAGCGCGACCCACTGAAGCAACCTGAAAGTCTATACTTATTTATCTGTACGCTAAGAGTGTCACTGTGTGCAGACGTGTCTATCGGTGACATTTTGCCTTTTGATTTATGGTTCACTGTGCAGTGTGTAAACGCTGATCATATAAACTGACTGATGCCTGATTAATGGTGAAAGTAGTCCACAACAGACATTTTACTCAAGTGTGTAAATTTAGAAATTGAACTTTGGCAAAGCATACGTTTTCTAACTTGTCAGCCTCATTCAGTCTCTCTAGAAGTCCATTTATAATGGCCTGACTAGTGTGATACACTTCCTCATCTGTTTCTTCCGTAAGGATCCTATAACAAGAGTAACCAATCTAACTCGTTAGACAAGTGACCTACTAGTCTAAGCAAGATATAAATTCCCCCTGGACATTGTTGCTAGAACGGTCTAACTCACCCATCTCATACCTGTTTTGTCACGCGCATATGTCAAACTGACTTGGCGCTTCATTGGCAAGCATTGTCTTAGGGCACATCCTATTATGACAATGATTGGCTAGAATCGCCGGTTAATCACTCCAGATGGGCACTTATTTGACACTTCTTACATACTTGTTTTACTTATAAAAATGGTAAAGTCACGTTTCTGAACAGAGTCGCACCAACAATTATACAACTATAGCTTCTGGGTGCGTTTACAAAGGTACTACCCTCTGTACGAGTATCTCTGTGTGAAATATATGCACACCTGTAGAAGAGTTTGATGTCTTCGTCTCGCGAATACTTCTCGCAAGAGTGAAATAAGCTATATGCCATTTCCAATCTCTCTTTCTCTACTGGAAATCTCTCGACGAGGTAGTTGTACACGAAATCCACCATGTCGTGGCGCTTCTCATCCAATTCCTGCATATTTAGTTTCATCATTAAATTATAAATGTAAAAATCTGACATTCTCATATATATATATATCAATATATGTATATATATATATCAGGGGTTAATATTAATAATGACAAATTTGTCATTATTAACCCCTGATAGATATATATATAGCATATAGATCTAGTTTAAATTATTCTTTTTCGCCTGTTAAATGTAATATGTGGTAATACCATGAGCATATTTTCAATCGTACGCATACACTCTATACATACGCTCTACATTCATATAATAAGTAAAGTAAGTAAGTAAGTGTTTCAATATGCGTTGTGTGAGTAATCAAGAGAGAAAGCCATAGATGAATGGAACTGCTTTATTGGCAACTGCTGTTCCATTAAGCCTTCTGTCCGGTTCTGTTGACACGGGCACCCCCGGCCCCTCCTGTAGTTACAAACATTCATCATTG